TATACATATATCTTCAATGATGTTTATATATATATATATATATATATATATATATATACATATAAATATATACATATATATATGATATATATAATGATATATATGCATACATACATATATACATATATATATACCGTATATAATATGGGCTCCTTCAACAGTTTCACTAAATTTCCAGGATGAACTTGGATAATCTATTTTCAACAAATTGAACAATTTTCAGAAACTTCTAGTAAGGAAATTTGAAAAGACAAACTGTAAATTGATTAATGCCAACAATTCGGTAGAATTCATACAATACTATATATATATATATATATATATATATATATTCATATATATATATTCATATATATATATATATTCATATATATATATATATATATATATATATATATATGCAAATTTCATTGAATATTTTTGCCCACTTAGCATTAATTAACTTTTTTAATTTTTAAAAAATACACACTCAACTATATGGAATTGTTGTAAATCGTATTTATTGAGAAATAGTGACATAATTTGGCTGGCTAACAACGTTGTTTCGGTGTAAACACCATCTTCAGAGCCTTGTGTGAGATACAAATATTAAAATAAATGAAAATGTAAACCATGTAAAATAAAATACCATAGTACCTAAAATGTTACGTGTTGTGATTTAAAACAGGCAAAATGAAACATAGTAATATGTGAATAAATAATTTGAAGAGTTACATTAAAAGCAAAATGTTACCTTGTAATGCAGATGAAATTGAACAATATTAAACTATAACTTATTTCAATAATTATGTCACTAGTTCGATTTACAATTTACAACAATTCCATATCGTTGAGTGTATTTTTAAGAAATTAATTAATGCTAAGTGGGCAAAAATATTCAATGAAATTTGCATAGCTGAAAACCTCGTCTCAAAATATATATATTTTTTATTTATTATTTAATTTTTTTTGTCGTTGATCACTGAACGACATTACAAGATAATTACATTTTATTTTTCATTATTTTATTTTATGTTTTATATAATAAATTGTTTTTATTCCATCATGTTTTATATAATAAATTGTTTTTATTCCATCATGTTTGTAAAAAAAATTAAACTAATTTTAAGGCTTCGAAGATGTCACTTTTGCTGAAAAATAATAACAATAATAATAATAACAACTTAAATCGCGATAAAGCTAAGCAACTGAAGCCAGGTAACTAGGGCAACCACTGGAAGCTGAACATCATATAAGAAGGATAATATCGTTATTTAAAAATATCCCTTGATCCACTCTGACCTTTGTATGTTTTGAAACTCAGATAACAGCCAGTGCGTCCGCGTTTTGGGAGACGGGCAACGGCACAGGAAAGAGTGTTGAAAACGAATATACCAGCGGGCCACAGGAAAGGCTGAGGCTGTGTTTATTTATGAATCCAAATTACTTGGATGCCAAACTGAGTACGATTAACCTAGTAGTTCCACGCATGCTGTATACGCAGAGTCTGCATCTTCCACTGTGCTGGCTAAAATTGGAGTGAGTGGTCAGAGACGTAAACTGGCAAAATATAAATGTAGCATGCTTTTATTTTCTTAATCTACTACCTTGTGGCTTCAAAGGAGTAAACCTGATGAGTAACAAATTGGGAGTGAAGCTTGTTAGGCGTTGGGATTACTAACTGGTTTTTTTTCTCCGGCAGCTCTTACAACCAAGTTGAAGAAAAACTTTTGTATATAGGAACGTAAATTGAGAAAACATAAATGTAGCATGCTTTCTATTTCCTCAATCTACTACCTTGTGGCTTTAAAGAAATAAACCTGTTAAATAAATCATGAGTGGAGCTCCTTAGGTGTTGGGATTACTAACAGTGGTTTTTCCTTCCGGCAGCTACTGCAACCAAGTCGGTGCCAAGGTCAAGAGAGGAATCATGATGCATGGGAAACTTTAGTGCAGCGACTTTGCGGCTAAAACTAAACGACAGCAATTACGGGTTGTAAGTCCAGTCTCATTGGTGTTCGATAGGAAAGCCAAGGGTTGCCTCTGATGGTCGGAAAAGTTTTTGTGCCTAATTAATCAGCTACCGCCCGTCTAATCTGGGCAACCCCCAGACAATAACGTGTTGATCCTACACAGCCTGCCTGCTCTAATTAGTGCTTACAGATCAATAAGTAGGCTGAATACTTTCATCAAACAAAATAAAAATATAATCATCTATCAGGCATCATTGTCGGTTCTGGGGAGAAAAGCTAAGAAAATTGAAGATTGGAACGAGGCAAACTTGTCAGAATTGGAAATTGGTACAAAAACAAAAAAGAAGCTCTAATAGCTTCTAAAAGAGACTCCATGCAAAACAATCTACAGTTATTTAGAGATGCAAGAAATAAAACACAAAAACTCACTAGACATTGCTCAAATAGATTTTGGCAGACAGGATCTTTTTAGAAATATTCAAACTTAGCGATTCTGGTAGTGCAAAGGTTTTATATAAAGATATAAAGGAAGCTTTTGTACCAAATGTTAGCAGATGTGTTCCACTCAAGTCAAAAAATGGTTCAATAATTAAAGATTAAATAAATAATTAGGGGTCTCGTGGCCGAGTGTTTAGCGTGTCTGTCTACCACTCCCACGACCCGGGTTCGAATCCTGCAGTTTCTACAGGTTTATCCGGTTAGCCGACCCCTGGCCAACCCAGCCGTTTATCCTTTCGAGGCTGGTAAATGGGTAGATAACGTAAGCTGTCGCATGTTGGCCGGCGAGATGGCTCAGTGGTTCAAATGCTCGCTGAGTCAAACATCTCCATAGCTATCATATACTCAGCGTATATGATGCAGGGCTTGCGCGTGCACATAAATACAGGTATAAGTTATGTGAAAAGGATCAACAGCCTTTGTGGCGAAGATGGCTGCTTCAAATCAATCAATGGTTGAAAATATGAAGAACATTATAAAAGATATATAGATAATATATCTGTAACATTGTAAGTGGTTCTGCGTATGTCAGATTTGCAATAATAAAAGATTAAAAAAAGATCGTGCATCTCGAATAGAAAGATGGGCTGAACACTTGTTGAACTTTATCAAACAAAGTGTGTTGTTACTGCAGCTGCGCTGTCAAAAGTTCAAGATTTGCCAACTATGACTGAACTGGTTGACGAAATACTTTCTAAAACGAAACTTAGTATGGCCATTAATGCACTTGCAAACGGAAAGGCAACTGGTGGAAACAGCATTCCTGCAAAAAATATTAAAGCTGGGTAAACATGCCTTACTAAAGCCACTTAACATGTTGCTATGCTTTTGATTGGAAGGGATGCTATCCCATAGGATTTTAAAGATGCAAACAAAGGTAATTGTTCAGAGTGTAAAAACTGCAAGAGCATCTCCCTACAAAGTACTGTAAGCCTTTGCTTGAGTGTTTCTTATAAGATTACAAATTCAAGCAATTCAAGTATGAAACTTTCTCATCATAATTTCACCTTATTATCAATACTGAATAAAAAATACTTTTAAAAACATTTAAAATTAGTCAATGTAATCGTTTTTCTCAGTAAAAAATGCTTTATTATTTTACATTAAAACTATTAAATCGTACTAAAAAAATATATAATTTTATTGAAATTATTAACATTTATTTTAAGTATTAAATATGATTGCATATTGATATGCTATACGTGTTAAATTTCCAATAAACAGGATCATAAAAAAATTTTTAGAAAAGAAAAAATAAACTTTAAATTAATAACATTTTCCGGAGTTGGATAAAAACATCCCAACATACTCCAGAGTCGGATAAAAAAATCCGACTCCGACTTCGGCTCCTCAAAAAATTCCGGCTCCTACTACGACACTCCGAAAAAAATCTAATACTCTCGGAGAGGCTTTTTATAATGCGAGAGTTTAAAAGCTACACAAACACACACACACGAAATAAATAACAAATTTTATATCAATATTGAAATGAATACATTTTTGCAGAAAAATTAATGTTAACATACATATAAATATTTTAAAATTTTGTAAATGCTTGATGTGCAAAAAACGTCATACCGAATATAAGAATTATTCAATAACCCTTCAAATTAAAATTACAAATATGAATATAGCCTGAAGTAAATCATTTGAACGTCTAATAGAATGTCGTAATCAGGCATGTAGGTTTTCAGCATAATATAATAATAACATCCACATCACATATCACATCATATATATATATATTAATATTATTTGGAAACTTTTATATATATAACATATATAATGATTTTCATCAATATATATATATATATATATATATATATATATATATAATAGTTAACTTACAAAATAACTTTTCGATTTTTCCAACGGTTGATCGTAAACCATTTTCAAGTTTCTTCAGTTCAAAACCTAAATTTTTTTCATTTTATGCATGATAGAACAGAAAAGTTTTCGGTATTTCTATAGCATCTTGGTGTTCAAACTGATATTTTTTTATCATTATTATTCTTTAAAAATCAGAATCTGGCAGACGCAGAAACTGTTACAGCATGAAAGGAAGTAGTATAAAATTGAACGAATAAGTAAATAAATAAATAAACGGAGAAAGAAAAAAGTTTAAACATGAAAAGTAAAATAAAATAGAATAAAAAAAATTATAAACAATAAAAAAAAATAAAAATAGTAAAATAAATTGACAATAAAATGAAGTAATGGCATAAAAAGTCAAACTAATAACTAGATGATGACTAGTGAGTTTGTGAGGTGATCGATAAATAAAAACTGGTGGTGTGAATGATAAAGTTTTATTGAGTGTGAATATGTTTGAGGTGTCTTGTGATGGTCTTTTTCTGATATGTAGATTGGGTGGCGACTTGATAGTTAGGCTTGCGTTGACGAAGGTTGTGTATAGTAGTTTTAATTGGTGGTAGTAGAGGATGGATGACGTGGTTGTTGTTACTTTGTACTTTTTTGAACAGTCTTGAAACGAGGATGTTGAATATCTGAGTGACGGTAAGATATGTTGCAGGTAGATAGTTGAAGCGGATTAGTTTTTTGATGAAAAATTGTAGTTGCTGAAGTTGAATAATTTTGATGATAGTGACACAATAATTAATCGTGACTTTTATTATTCTGATGGGTTTGATCAATATTTTAGCTTCTCTGATCTTGTTAAATCAATATGTAATGCAATTAACATAAAATTCAATTTGCTTTTAATTCATGTTAATATTAGAAGTCTGGCATCTCATGCTGGTGAACTATTCTTGTTAATTAACAATCTGCAGGCAAATGCTAAAATCCCTTTGATAATTGCCTTGAGTGAAACATGGATGAATAATGACACTTCTTATGGTCCCATACTTTCATATTTCCCTAATCATAATTTAATCCTAAATAATAGAGAAAGTAAAAGGGGTGGAGGTACTGGCTTTTTAATTGATAAGTGTTTAACTCATAATGATTTAAATTTCAATTTTTCTCATAATTTGGGGAATTTTGAATGGTCAGGCTTCTGGTTACACTATGTTAACAAAAAATATATTTTCTTGTGCATTTATAGACCCCCCAATGACAAGCGTGCTGTTTTTTTGATGTATTCTATGAATTCCTTTATAACCTCTTTAATTGTCATTCCAGAAATATAGTATTCATAGCTGGTAATTTCAATATTAACTTGGCAACAGAGGGCCAGGTATCCTTTTCATTCTTGAACCTCATGGCCCTTTTCAATTTGCATCCAATAATCTTTCAATCAACTAGGATAACGGATAATCATTCATCTACAATTGATAATATTTTTCAAATTACAATAATAGAAATTGTTTAAGGGGAATTTTATATAGTGATATTTCTGATCATCTGCCAATTTTTGTCAGCTGTCAGTTGTCAAATGAATCAATTAGTGGCAAATCCTCTTTGCATTAAGACCAGACAGGTAAATGCAATTAATCTGAAAAAAGCAAATGCTTGAAAGTACTCATTGGAACAGCTTTTATGCTGAGATCAATTATGTATTGAGATTTGAAATTTTCTTTAAAGGTTATTTGAAAAGCGTTGACTTGGCATGACCTTTGGTGAACAAAAAGAACCGTTTTCGCAAGGTTTGGATGAACAAAGATCTTTTTAAACATGCTTTGCTTAAGGATGATTTTTACAGAAGATACTTGACTAATCCAACCTCTGTAAATAAAAATGCTTATAATAAAATTAAAAATAGATTTATTAATTTTAAAAGATCAACTATAAAAATTTTTTTTTGAAAATAGATTAAATAATAATCATGATTCAAAAAATAAATGGAGAATCATAAATGAGATATTAGGTTCCACTTCTAATGCACCTAGTAATAAATTAGTTGTGCGTTATCACATGGGCCATTGCCCCCAACAAAACTGGGTAGCTCAGTTTTCTTCAGACTGACTGTAAGTCCAAATTTCTTAGCTGTTATATAGAAGCGGTTGAACAGCGTCTGAATCTCGGACAACAGAGATCTGTGTCTTGGACTTGGCTTGCAATCGTCTAATATTAAAAACATCTCCATCCATACGATAGAAGATTGGTATCCTCTCACTACCGTGACAAAAAGCAACTCGGAGCATCAATGAAAAGTAGATGTTGAACAGCAATGGAGCCATAACGCATCCTTGCTTGGTTCCGTTTGTAACATCAAAATCCTGTGACCGTTCACCATTTTCAACCACACTCGTTTTCATACCTCCATGGAAGGAACGAACAACGGCAACAAAAACAGAGGGGCAACCAATTTTTGACAAGCAGCGCTGACCTATCAACTGAATCAAATGCCTTGGTCAGGTCAACAAAAACCATATATAGTTCCCGTTGCTGCTCGCGACATTTTTCTTGCAGTTGCCTGGCAGTGAACACCATATCGGTTGTGCTGCGTCCATCTCTGAATCCACACTGACTCTCCGGAAAGATATCTAGATTGTTTACATATTTTGCCAGGCGTTCAGCAATCACTCTGGCTAGTATCTTTCCAGGTATGGAGAGCAGAGAGATTCTTCTGTGGTCGTCGCAGTTTGATCGATCACCTTTTCTTTTAAATATGTGAACGATCAGAGCATCTTTGATTTCCTGAGGGACCGACCACTCTGCCCACATGCGTTCAAAAAGCTCCACCAATCTCTTCCTAAGATGCAGACCACCGTGTTTGAACAGCTCTGCAGGCAACCCATCCAAACCCGGCGCCTTACCAGATGACAACCGAGATATTGCTTTATCCACTTTCTGCAAACTAGAAGGAACTTCAAGATCATAATTAGGCTCCCAAACAGCTCAAACAGGACCGAGTCATTAAAGAAGGTCTTTTGATTTAGCACCCCGCAAAAGTGCTCCGCCCAGCGGGCCAAGATGCCAGGCCCATCCTTAATCAACGACGTACCATCACCTGAACGCACTGGTATACCTCCAAAGTCACGTAGACCATATACCATCTTAAGGCTTTTATAAAATAGCTTCAGATCACCACGGTTAGCAGCTACCTGTAATTCATCAGCCCTTGCCGACCACCAAGACTCCTTCATTCTGCGAAGCTCCCTCTGCGAGATACTTCGTGCATTTGAGTAGGCTACCTTTTTTGCATCAATGCTTTTGTCATTTATCCAAGCCAGATGTGTTTTGTGCACCCCATCCAGCAATCTACGAGTTTCCGTATCTCGTTCATCAAACCAGTCTCTATGCTCACTCCGGCGGTGACCAAGCACATTTCCTGCAACCTTTTGTATACCGTTTGAAAATACGGCCAATTAAGGTCAGTATTCTCAGCCATTTCGATGCATAATGCGCGGCTGAAAGACTCCTGAGCTGACCTGTCCTCCAGTTTAGCCACATCCATCCTGTCGGATTTTACCACCCTATGATGCCTCTTGACTGGCTTGACCGTCAAAAACATGGACATTTTGACAAGACGATGATCCGACCATACAGTTGTCGCTCAAATCGCTCTTGTGAGGCGAACGTTGCATAGGTCCCATTGTCTTGTGATGACGTAGTCGATCAAGTGCCAATGTCCCGATCGTGGATGCATCCATGTAGTCTTTAGCTTGTTTGACTGTTGGAAGACCGTGTTTGTCACAGCCAGCTTTTGAACTGCGCAGAACTCAAAAAGCCTGATTCCATTTGAATTCACTTTACCAACCCCATTTCGCCTCAGTACCCCACGCCATATGTCGTGAACTACACCCACTCGTGCGTTGAAGTCACCCAGCACAAACAACTGGTGTTCAAAAAGCGTCGCGTTCACAACTGTGTTAAGCTGTTCATAGAAACGATCTTTTTCTTTCTCCGATGCTCTTAGTGTGGGCGCATAGCAGCTGATCAAGTTAGCAGTGTGTCCTCCCTCGAGACTCAGTTGCATCTTCATTAGACGGGGCGATATGCCATGGGGAGTCTCACACACAGACTTGATTAGCTTGCTACGTATTGCAAATCCAACTCCACACGTTCGCGCTTCTCCTGCCGGATGCCCCTGACAGAAAAAGGTGTATCCAGCACCTTTTTCTACAAATTGTAAAACATCGGATAATCTTGTATCCCTCAGTGCAGCAATATCTATTTCAAAACGATTCAGCTCACGCGCCACGATGGCGGTCCTACGTTCATGTCGATCAATATTTTCCAACAATGTGCGAACGTTCCATGCCGCAAGGTTCAGTATTTTTTTTTAGATTTATGTATATTTTTGCCGCAGAAAATGGATATCCAGTCAGCCGCGGTCAGCCAACAAGACGGTTTTGTTGGGTAACTTTTTTTAGGACACATTTTCCAGTCCCCTCTCCAGTTGGAGAAAGCTGTGCCTCCCTAAATAGGGCTGCTTTGTCGTCAAGGCAGGACCGAACGCCACTGTAGCCCTCAGTAACGAGTGACCATCACACCAAGGCCGCCTACGGGCTGGATAGTGGCTAGACACTTCCAGTAGTATCCTCTACCTGTGCCCGTCGTCATTCTCCAGTCGCCGCAGGGTTTTTATGCTCACAGCATCCACCGAAGACAACTTGCACAATTGAATTAGTTTAAGGTGGGAAGAGTTTTGTGAGAACTAGCCACGCCCTCTCTTTCCACAAAGGCCGTTGTCAGCAGGCACAATGAATTGCGACGTGATGACTGACCAGTATAGACGCAGCAGTATAGTCGGAACTGACACCGAGTTGATGAGCAGAACCATCCTCATAGCCAACTGCAGATGCTAGCGATTTTTTGTTTTGGTTTACTCCCATAATCTTCCCATGAATGGGTGTGGCCGCAAGGCAGCGGAGGTTTGAAGTCAAAGTTTTCCTTCTCCTAGGTGGATGGCCAGCCATGGCTAACGAGCTCCACCTGCCCTGAACATCTGGTTATGGCGCCAGTTACTCGCCTTCGCCCTTTCCTGCTAGTTTAAACAGCTTCGCCACGTGAAGGCCAGGAGTAGGATTTGATTGACCGAGGTGAGATACCTACCGCCAATGGGAGCATTTTTTAGGAGATGAGAGTTCATTTCTCATCCCCCACCACCGGCATAGTCAACCATAGTCAACCGCAAGGCAGCGGAGGTTTGAAGTCAAAGTTTTCCTTCTCCTAGGTGGATGGCCAGCCATGGCTAACGAGCTCCACCTGCCCTGAACATCTGGTTATGGCGCCAGTTACTCGCCTTCGCCCTTTCCTGCTAGTTTAAACAGCTTCGCCACGTGAAGGCCAGGAGTAGGATTTGATTGACCGAGGTGAGATACCTACCGCCAATGGGAGCATTTTTTAGGAGATGAGAGTTCATTTCTCATCCCCCACCACCGGCATAGTCAACCCGTTTGAAACCGATATTTACCTTAACAGCCATAATATAAACAATCTTGCCGTTAAAATTTTGAAAATCGCGTTTTATATTTTTATTAAATTTATTTTATTCGTTTTCTGTTTTAAATAATTTATATAAATTAATAATTACTTGTTCCTTCTTATCAAATATCTTACATACATTTTATATAATGCACTGAAGATGAGTTATTTATAACTCGAAATAGCTATCTGCAAATTTATTTAATAAAATTTTTAAAACAATAAAATGTTTAATTTTTCTGACATTAATAAATTCAAAAAAAATATAAAAAGTTGAACAATGTTTTCAATAAATTCTACCGAATGTTTGGCGTTAATATGTTTGTAGTTCGTTTTTTCGATTTTTCTCACTAAAGTTTTTTGGTGAACGTTTAGTTTATTAAAATTCAAAATAAACTTATTTTTCGAATTCATGCTGCAAATAAGGCCATATTTCGATTCCGAATGAATCATCATCAGTGCTCCTTGCTGTATATATAAGGAAATATTGACTTTGTCAAGATGAACTGTGACGTTGTAAAAATTAACTTTGGTGTTATAAAATTGAACTTTGATGCGAATTAGGTGTCAGGTTTCTTCATTGGCTGGTCGTGTTCTTTGGTCTCCTTTCTTCATCAATAGCATGGTCGTGTTCTTTGGTCTCCTTATCTTCATCGATAGCATCATATTCTTCTTTGTCATTATTTACAATGCTAGTTTTTATTACTTCTTTGTTTTCATTGTTGGTTAAGCGTCGGGTTGGGAGTGAGGTTGTCATTTTTTGTTGTATATTTATTTTTTTAAATTTTTGGTTTATTGATGTCAATTAGGACTGCTGTCAAGCAAAATAAATATACAACAAAAAATATATATTAACCACCCTATTATATATATATAAATATTTTATATATGTCTATATTAAAAAATACCTTTGTTTGCAATGTTGTCTACTAAGATAATAATTGCATTATGTTAGTATTTAAACTCGAGCTACTGATGAGTCCCATAAGGGACAAAACGCGTCTAGCCTAAACGAGTTGGATGTTCACAGAAACGCACCTTTAGTTGGGGTGAGAGATGGTGTACTTTAAGTACTCGTACTGGCCGACCGTACTTGCGAGAGCAAGTCAGAAATTCTCACCCTTCATAAACTCACGTACTCACGGATTCAACTCGACTCACAAAATGAATATATATAATATATATATATATATATATATATATATATATATATATATATACATATATATACATATACATATATATATATATATAGAAACGCACCTTTGGTCGTGGTGAGAGATGGTGTGCTTTATGTACTCGTACTGGCGACTGTACTTGCGAGAGCAAGTCGGAAATTCTCACAAATGGTCAAGAATATTTCGGAAACTGGTAGCGAAAAAGAATGTCCTACATTTGTTGCCGATGATTATACTAGGCTAGTAAAATGCCAATTGGCTATAGATGTTTTGATGTCTGGTTTCGGTGGTTCAAGTCTGGGGGCGAAGTTAATGAATGCAGTAGAATGGCTAAGTGAAGTTGCCGTTGATGAGTTCATGACAGATTTTGAAAAGTTAACTGAAGTTTTGAATGCTGCTGAGCTGGTGAAAGTTTTAGAAAAATAAACTGAGGCTATTAATGATCTTTTAAGTAAACAAGATATAATCTTTAACAAAATTGAAAATGTTTCCCGTACTCCAATAATTGGTGATGTAAATTTTAATTATTTATTAAAAATTGATGGAGATTTCAATGGGCTTCTTAAAGTACAGAAACAGAATACTGATGGTGATTCTGACGGTTTCAAAAATGTCCAATGACAGAAAAATCGGGTGAAGTATGGTTATGATCATGAAAAAAAGTACCAAGAGTTATCATTGGTTTGCGTCCAGCTAGTTATTCAAAATTTAAGACGAATAAACCTATCGTTTGTAAGAGATCTTTCCACATGAGCAATTTGGGACATGTTTTGCGTCCGATTTCATAAAGCATGTAAAGGAATTATCTTGCTACCCGTTATTCAAAAGAAAAGATAAGAATGCAGAACTTAAAAATGATAATTTGTCGACGTCTTTTCGACTATGCATTTATTAGAGATTTTTCAGCTTGGTCAACAGCGAAGGTACCTGGCCTGAATACGTAAGGATCAGAAACTGGTAATTCAACAAAAACAACAACAACAACAACAATAGGCATGATATGAAGCCAGCAACTACGTCTGATAATTAACGACTTTTGTTTTTATTTCTAAAAGTACCACTAAGTTAATAAATAACATTGATTTTATTTTCGAGTAATTTGTGGTTTGTTATGAGAGCGCTTTGAGATACTCCCTTTAAAAGCGTTATAGAAATATAATATATAATGTTATAACTTCAAAGATCTCTATATTTCCAACAACACCAGTGCTATAGCTTCCAACGATCGTCAAATGTTCGTTATTTCGTAGGTTCAAGATTTTCGATAAATGAACATAACTGCTTCAAACGCAAACGCTGTTAAACGTTTATTTGATTACCAACAATAATAGAAAGTAGAAACATCAAACTAATCCAAGTAACTACATAAATAACATTTACGACATAGCTTTCTCTGCTGGAAACATGTATCTCCGCAAGATCTTATATAGGCTTCTTTCTGTGATTCCTAGCAATCCAAAGATTACATATATAGCGAAGATAACAATAATGAAGATAACATATAATATAGCACAATTTGATCATTCCAGCGGTTATAACATTACCCCACCTTTGCCTGTTAGCCCCTAACATGGGCGTTATTTCTTTATTCCAATAAATAGTGGCTAACCTATCCAAATGAATGAGCTTCATTTGTGCCGCTGTCTTCCATGACTTTGGAATTTGTAGGTCACGCCATTTATTTTGTAAATGACCCTACACCGACCTTTCCAATTCCTTATGAGTTTTGCCGGATATCTTTTGTACCGATCTTTCCAATTCCTTAGTAGTTTCACTTTTTTTTGCGCCGTATGTTGTACAACCAGACCAGGTTTCCGCGCTTGAAACTTGCGTTATTTCTTTTTCAATCATACCGCATTTCCGTTGTTTCGGTTCCTCTAGCAATATAGGTAGACGTCGTTGTTCTGTCTGGAATTTGTCTGCATTTCAAGCAAGTGCTTTTTATCTATTGATTTTACAAGGTGTAGAATGACCAGACGGGTATCTTTGATGCATGTTGTAAGACTCGTCGTTGACATCTTTTTTGTCGATCAGTGGTGGGGCGATGAAAAACTCATCCTTATCAACAATGAGGCCGTTGTTGATATCATCATCCAGGTAGACGAAAACCAAGCGTTTATTCCACGTGGTGTTGGAAGGGTTATCTCAAAACTTGAATCATCGTCTGTCCCCAATTCTTGTCTTGAATGCGTATTCGCATTATCGTTAATCGTTATGCTCCCCCAGACGTCTTATCCAAATTATCATTAAAAGTTGATTTGTTGGTAAGTGTTGCATTAAAATCGTTGTTGCTCTTTATGTTAATGCTGTCGTTGTTATCGATGAAAACAAGCGAGTTGTTAGCAGAAAGAACTGAGTAGTAGTTTCACTGCATATCAAGAGTTTCCATATCTTTACCACTGCCAAAAGATTAACGCTGCTGAGATGTGGTTTTTGAGAAGAATTATGAAAATTAGTTGAAACCCTCGCATTTTGAATGAGGATGTATTAAAAAAGTCCGGTTATGAAAATAAGAATTTACTACAAATAATCCGACGGGGAGCAGTTTAAGTTTTTTTGGTCACATCATGCGGAAGGAAAAAATGGAAAATTTAACAACTACTGTAAGATTGCAGAAAAAAAATCGCGGTCAACAACGAATAACATTTGTGAGGTCTTTGTGTCACATGTTGAATATGCAGACTCAATAGACTATGACTAACATGGTCAAACTTCAATCCACAAGTAACTATTTTAGCCGTTCGATTTTGAATTGACTGTAATTAGCATATGATTTTGTTGGAAGTTCCATAGAAAACACTATGATTATAGTCTAGTTTAGAATGAATGAACGCATAAACTAGACATTTTTATATATCTTCATCAAGCAAATTTCTAATCTGTCTGAACCTTCATGGTTGAAACGAACATTCCCATTTCAACTTTTTGACTTGATGGTCCATAGATATATTTTGATCAAACGTGATTCCAAGATTATTGACAGATGAACAATAATTGATTACTAATCCAGATATGTTAATAGAGTTGAGACGAATCTTTTAAAGAATTTCAGAAACTTTCCTAAAAGATATCAATGAACCTCAAATAAACATCTTACATCATTGCCAACTCGACGCCCAATACTAACTTTGATAACAATGAAAATCAAAGCTCCCAGATTTCCTAAATTTGCCAAGGAATTTACTTTGCTAAAGAACTAACTTTGCTTTGTTTAAAGAAACTATATAAACTATCTACAAATCATAGCTCCATTCATCCAATTCCTAAAACAAAATACCCGTCATCACCAATAGATTATCGCCCAATATCTATCACCCCCATACTCTCACGTATTCTAGAAAAATTCATCGTTAGGTCATTCATTTATCCATGTTTCAACCATTCTTCCATCAAATCACTATTACAAGATCAGTTTGCATTTCGCCCTACAGACTCATCCACCTCCGCCATCATCTCTCTTACTTCCATAATAACATCTTATTGCCCTCGACTTCTCTAAAGCTTTTGACACTCTCAATCATTTCTCACTTTCCAATAAGTTAGCCTCTCTTTCACTACCTGACAACATTTACAATATCATAATAAATTTAAATTTTCTATCTAATAGGAGTCATTCTACTTCTTTTAGCTCTATTCTTTCATCTACTCTACCTATTAACTCTAGCGTAGTTCAAGATTCTGTCCTTGGACCATCTACATTTATTATCAATGCTTCTACTCTCAAAACTTTTCATAGCTCTAATCAAATCATCAAATACGCTGACGACACCTACCTTATCATCCCATCATCTAACTTTAACACCATCCAATTGGAACTCGGCTCATTAACTACATGGTAAAAACAATGCAACCTGTCACTTAATCTCAACAAATCCTTCGAACTCATCATTCACAATAGCCGTAAAAAATAACTTTACCTCCTGAACACCCATCAATTACCCGCACAAATCAATTAAAAATATTAGACATAACATTCACCTCCACATTCAATATAGCGCCGCATATCAGTCACACCATCACAAAAGGCTTTCAAACATTTCACGCTCTCAAAACACTCCGTTCACATGGTCTCAGAGGCATCAAATTATTCGACATCACTGAATTACTCATCATCTCACGCATCAAATATGCAGCTCCCTCCTGGTCTGGTTTTGTTACACAACAACAACTCCAGCAACTACAATCTCTCATCAAAAAACTTATTCGCTTCACTATCTACCTGCATCATATCCTACCGTCACTCAGATATTCAACACACTCGACTCAAGGCTATTCAAGAAACTAGAAAATAACAACAACCACGTCATCCATCCTCTACTACCACCAATTAAAACTACAACACACAATCTTCGTCAGCGCAAACATAACTATCAAGTCGTCTCCAAATCTACATACCAGGAAAAGATTTTCATCTTATTTATCGATCACCTCACTAACTCACCTTCAAAATTATAAATACTCATTAGAACTTTATCATTCACAGATCTAATTTTTATTTATTGATCACCTCACTAACTCACTAAGTCATCATCTAGTCTATTAATTTTCCGTTACTTTATTTTATATTTCATTGTCAATTACTTTTCTTTTATTTTTATTATTTTTATTTATTTTATTCTAACTTATTTCATTTTTTATGTTTTAACATTTTTCTTCCTCACTTTTTGTATTTATTTACTTACTTATTTGTTTTATTTTGTTCTACTGTCTTGCATGTTGTTACAGTTTCTGCGTCTGTCAGATCCTGATTTTTAAAGAATATTAAAAAAACCTGCATTAAAGATAATTTGTGAAAAATCGAAATAAGGCCTATTGCATAATAAATTTAGATAACAACAGTTTTATTAAATTTTCATGATGAACTTGGATAATAATTATATTTTCAATAAATTGGACAATTTCAAAAAAAAATTTTAGTAAGGAAAATTGAAAAGACAAACTTGAAATTGGTTAATTCCAACATGGTTAATTCAATAGAATTCATTCAATACTATATATATATATGTGTGTGTATAAATAGTACAAAGCGCTTCTGAGGTTTTTTCAATAGAGGCTTTATACAAATTTCGATTCTGATATATATATATATATATATTATGTATATATATATATATATACACTTTGTACAATATTTATTGTGATACAAACACTATGATTTTAATTTAAATATATTTTGCCGCATTAAACTTGCCAGCGCAATGAGCTGTGGGGTCTACTGGGGTACCCTTTTATTAATTTTTATGTGTGTGTGCATGCATGTGTGTGTAATATATATTTATTTATTATATTGTACTAAAGTGGATATAACACATATTATATGTGTAACTTATTATTTCAGCCATATTTAACAAATAACATTAGGGCGTGGTGAGACATACGATGTATAATCATATATACAACAATACAAATATACTAAAAAGATGCCACATGCACATGCATGTAACATGCACGTAAATATTCCCTCCGAGCATACATAAACTGCATGTGTAGGAGTCCATGTATATATACAATGTCTACGTGATTCATGTTCGTCTCATTCATTTAGGAATAAGTTCACTATTCGGAGTACTTTCTTCTAAGAGAAGAATGTATTGGTTTTATTTTACGTTTATTTGCTTTACAACTTCTGATGTACTTGCTCAAACAAGTAGTTGTCCTAAAGGATGTATATGTGAGAAAACTTCGGTTAAATGCAGTTTTCAACAGCTAACAAAAGTTCCAGAGAATATATCTGATGAAACAACTTTATTGTAAGATTTCATTCATTTTGTAAATAAATGTATTCACTGAATTTTTTTGTTAAAATCCTGGTGCTAGAATAGTTGTAAGTTTTATTTGTTGCTATTTGTATTGCAAACGTAAAGCAACTGTCTTTTAATTTAAAAAACACCAAACATAGAATGCCATTTATAATTAATTTAATTGTTGAAAATAATTGAACATCTATAGAATCCCTAATTTTAAAATAGAATTATAGTTTTTTTGCAGTGTCAAATGAAAAAAGATATCGTTTTTCGTTAAAATTTAAATAATCGATGCTTCTTTACCCAAATGTATATAAATAACATTAATAACATTTGTGGATTCCTATAGTGCAATCACATTAGTATATATTTAAATTACTCGGTGTACACCGCATGGTATACTTAATAATATAAGCTGATAAGTAAGTGAATGAATTTTAATTTGTCACACAGCAAAACACTTTATCAAAATTTCATCATGGCGAACTGTGAGTGGTGTAGAAGGGTGGCACAATTGATATAGAAATGGGAAACTATAATAAAATTTAAAATAAATTTTACAAAAATGTTTTTAAAAGATTTATGCATTGAAAACCCATCTAACGCAATTATTTGTTATTGTTAATATGTTACACACAATATATTAAAAGGGCTCTCGAAGCCAAGTGGTTAGCGTGTCCATCCAATACTCTCAGAACCTGCAGAATCTTGCAGTTTCTGCAGGTTCATCCGGGTAGCCGACCTCCGGCCAACCCAACCGTCTATCCTTCCAAAGTCGGTAAATGGGGAGACTACGTAAGTTGTTGCATGTTGGCTCGCTAGATGGCTCAGTAGTTCAAATAAGCGTTGAATCAAACATCTCAATGGCTATCATATACTCAGCGTATATAATGCGGTTGACAGCAAGTAATGGCAATTTAATGTCCACAACTTTTTCCAAGAAAACCATCGACAACTACTACAAAGTGTTAAAAGTCGACGGTCGTCAATGTCTTGAAAAAGAAAAGGCACAAAAATATTACTCACAAAAAACAATATTTATTGCCAACCCAGCACCAAGGTATTAAGTACTTTTTCGTTACTTCTAACTGTTCTTATGAGGTTTTGTAAATATAAATTACAAACATTATTATTAGTTAGAAGGAAGATTCCGACAGGCCTTGATGCTTCGAGAGCATTTCACAATTGGCACGCACCTAAAATGTTACCCTTAGCCACGACGTTTATTGCAGACCTAGTAATTCATACTGCACGGAGCGGTATTATTAATACCATCTATCGAATAAGTAAAAAAAATGTTGCAATATTTTACCGTAAACCTAGTAAATTTTCATGCCTCGGGCTTATGATATTTATGCTGGCCTTTGAACGCACTTGCGCATGCATGTTTTCAGTGCGCTTTAAGGTCTGGCATATATGTATATATATAAACGAAAAATTAAAATAAGTCTGCATTGTAATTAGCATTTATCGCCAACGATTCATTAGCTAATATGCTGTTAGCAAATTTTCTGCTTAAGAATATGTGCAGATAAAGGGTCATTAACATTTTACGTATATACATTACATTAAGCTATCGGCAATGTTTCCTCCAAGGAAGAACAAGCTGTGTGCAAAAATTAAATTCACTGAGCAATTATTTCAACAGTTTGAGCAAATTTGCGATAGTCGAAAAACTATATTCGTACCAAAACGCTACCAAATACGTGAATATGTGAAGACATAAATAAGGTTTATTTATATATTTATTAAAATAGATGTATAATTCAGTCAAAAATGTTAAAATTCAAAAAATATAAAAAATTACTTTAAATCAATTTTGTTCACTAGTTTCTCTTCTGCACTTGTTGGTTATCCAGAATTTATAAACTTCATTAATGTCAACTTGATGCCCACTCAATAAATAAAACTTTATTCAAATTGACATGTCCAGATGGTTTGTGTCAAGTCTGCTCCGTGATTTGGTTTTAATGTTTTAATAGAATTCATCAAACTAAAACCACGTTCAGCATCAGCACTTGAAGCTTGAAAAGTACTACATATATCAATAAAAGTTTTCATAGTAGTAAACTTTTCTTCCATTAGCACAAAACCAATCCCATCATTGAATGTTTTCACATTTCTAAATTAAAGTTTCTGTTTTAAAAGAAATTTAAAATCCTTATATTCAGATAGAATTTCTGCAAATGAGATCTCTGGAAGCAAATGTTTATATCTTTCAACTAATACATTTAATTCTCTTTCCAAATTCATAATCATTTTGGTTTTTGACTGCCTGGGTATCAAACACCACCCATTCTTTTAAAAAACGGTTTAAACTACTGTGCGGGCGCGCAGCCGCGCAGCTTAGAGGAAACATTGGCTATCGGAATCCATCTTTGGGTCTGGTCTCCTTTTTTAATTTCCATGAACAAACTTTGTATATATGCTACACTAATTGGTCGGGGTGAGAGATGGTGTACTTCATGTACTCGTACTGGCCAACCGTACTCGTCGAAAATTCTCACCCTATATATATGTGTGTATGTTCTTTAGAGAAGTATGTTAAAACCAAATCATTGACGAATGACACCAAAAACCAAGCGTCTGACTAAATTTGATTTTATTTGTGATAGCGTCACTCAACCACGTCGGCATTCAACTGCACATTTTCCAACACACGGACGCGCAAAAACCGCTGCAGAATGCATGCACGAAATATTATTCATAGCGAAAAAATACTCTCTACTATCGCCTGACCTAATACTAATATGTTTACAAATCTGATTGAAAAACTTGGAGGTGTTACGGTCCATGGGGCCAAAGGCCTCGATACAAATCGGTAAAAACTCCATCGAGGGGAGAGCTCCGTCATACTTCTTGATCTTTTCATCAGATGCTCTGGTTGCGGCAAACCGCTTTCTTTGCTAGTAAGCTGCACGTAGCGCTCAGCAAAGGTGCCCGGAACGGTAACATCCCACACCAAGCACCTGCCGGCTCTCCAAGGAATCAAGGTACACCCGTCAGGGCGCTTACCATCATGCGCCGCAATGCCCGACTGTTCATTTAAAACCGGAATTGAGGCCTTGGAAAAAAGCTGGCACACAAATCGTTTATGGCTGAATGTCGCTGCTGGCGACCTCCGCCCAAACGACAAACAAGGCCATGATGACCGAGTTTATCCGCCTCCGCGCCGCACCTGCATGTGTATCGACTCTGAACGGCCAACCCCAGACGGAAACCATTGGCTGTCCTGACCGTTTCGTCATCCAATCTGGTACCCACTGACGTATTGGGCAAAGATCTCAGCCAGCCACAACTCGCCTCGTTGGATACTGCCAGCAAGCTAGCCGAGGTCGCCGAGTCAGGGCTTGAGGAAAAAAACTCTTTGAATGTGCGTTTATATGCTTCCTCCAAAATGTTGCTCTGGGAAAGTTCTGTTGGTTGGAATGGAGTCGGTGGAGTACAGTGTAGGCTACTAAATTGCAGACTGTAGGTCAAGCGTGGCAGATGCAGAAGATTTATAAACAATTGGTGCAAGCTGAACCACGATTAGTAACCCCAGTTTCCCAAATCGTACCGGCAGCTGAGCCTGAGACCAACCCTTGTTAGTAATATCAACGTTACAAATGCCTGAGAGGGCCACCCGCAGAGCACCCTCAAATTCGCCCAAAATGGCCGCATTAACAGAGTTGGATGTGCGCAAAAAATACATCAATTTTGGCAAACTGAGTGCGCCGCGAATGATTGTCAGCGCATCGTGGACCGGGAGAAGAGAGACACGTTTGAGGGCAAACCTTAGCTCAAAAATTTTTTTATTAAAAAACCTGTCCTGATGATCGCCGGCCATCATTGGAGTGCCTAAAAAATTTAATGATGAATGGGGCACTGTGGGGACATTAGCCAGCACATGTGGCATTTGAAACGTGTCATTTACAAGTAGTTTACACTTATTTGTGTTTAATTCAAGACCAATGATGGAAGCGCCGACCCTCAGCGACAGGGAGTCGTCCGCTAAGATGTTACCCTCTGCGGCCAAGCTGATATCGTTCAGGTAGCCACAAACAAACGCCGAAGATGACTTCGTCAGCAGTGGGTGAAGGGTTAGAGCAAAAAGCATCGGACACAAAGGATTGCCTTGCTGTACACCCTCGCACGATTCCACCACCCAGGCGTCGTAACCAAGAGAAGAGACTCGGCCATATGCGGAATGACAAAAAATATAAATTTGTGGACAGTGCTGATTAACTTCTTCTAACATTGAACCTCTTCTCAGGATGTTGAAAGCGTTCTTGAAATAAATCTTCAAGAATCCCCACTGTTTTGGAAGTGCTGAAATCAGTTCACGTACGGCGTGGACGGCCGCCTCAGCACCACCTTTCACGTCTGATCCCTCCATCTTTTTTGTTTAAGCCACCAGATGGCCTCTAAAAAGGAAACGGCTAACCACATGAGGGCAGACCCCAGATAACAACAACTTTACAAACCGGGTGAGGTTATTTAACAATTCATCGGTGGGCGTCGGACCGGAAAGTAAATCCTTTATGTGCTGAGGCCTCAAGCCATCAAGGCCTCCCGATGAACCATTATTAAACGACTTTAAAGCCGTCAACACCTGGGCTGGTGAAACGCGACCATTAGACGGCTCCTGCGCGGGGAAAGCTCGCCTGTTCAATGGAGTACTGGGATGAATAGCCTTGAGTTTAGCGAATGTCTCAGGTGAGCTCTCCGCCAGGCCCACGGGCGAACAAGCAAGTCTGACGGCCGCCGAAAGACTGCCCTGTTCGATCCGAGTAGTAACTGCACTAATCCAACTGTTTGGATTGTGCTTACGCGGTTTGGTGTTGTGGTCAGTGTTGAAGCTTGCCATAATAATCTCGACCTCGGTCAAACTGAATTCGGCCAACCGTTTAATAACGTAATTGGCTTGATTAATCTTGCGACCGCCCCTAGTGGGCTTGAACAAAAGAAATGCGAAAAAACATTAGAGCCTGTACCAATGAGCCGCGTCGCAGGGATCGTCAATA